GACATTGAAGACCAATGCATATTAGAGTTGGACTACTTACTACCAAGGAAGTGTGCAATTAATTTTGATAAAATGACATTTGGGAACAACAAAGGCCAAATCCTGGTAAGTCAAAGTGACTGAAAGAGTTGATGATGGTGAAGTGGAACCAAATATAGATATTAAAGTAGAACAGGAGAAATACCAAGATTTGAAGCCATTAATTGATTTTCTAAAAGCAAGTGTTTTGTGCCCTGCTTGGGATAAGGTGTCTAGTCTAAGCTCTGTGGCAAAGAACTATGGGCACAATGGGATCAGTTGAAGCTTGAAGATGATATTCTTCTCCGGAGATGGGAAACTGCAGATGAGCAAGTGACGACCTGGCCAATGGTTATATCGAGAAAGTTACAGGAACTTGTGCTGCGTCAATCCCATGATAGTTTAACAGGAGGACATCTTGGAGTTAAGAAGACATTGAGTCACCTACGACAGAGATTTTACTGGATAGGTATGAAGCAAGATGTAGAAGAATGGTGGAGGACCTGCAGTACATGTTATGCTAAAAGGGGACCCAAGCATAAAGGACGTGCTACAATGAAGTAATATCAAGTTAGTGCACCAATGGAAAGAGTAGCCATTGACATTGCTGGTCCTTTGCCTCAAACTCGTGCTGGAAACAGGTACATTTGTGTGGTGATGGATTATTTCACCAAGTGGCCTGAGGCATATGCAATACCAAATCAGGAAGCTACAACTGTAGATTTGGTATGCCATACGAACTGCATTCAGATCAAGGCCGTAACTTTTAATCAGCTGTGTTCCATGAATGTTGCAAGTTGTTTGGCATACAAAAGACCAGAACAATGCCACTTCACCCACAGTCTGATGGGATGGTAGAAAAGTACAACTGGACAGGAATTGGCAAAGTTTTGTAATAGCTGCCAAGATGACTGGCATGTCACTGTTGATGGCCTATAGAACAGCAGAGCATGAATCCACTGGATACGCTCCAGCAAATTTGATGTTTGATCGGGAACTTCGGTTGCCAGTGGATCTGTTAACAGGATGCCCACCTTATGAAGAATTGCCTGAAAATGTGTCAGAGATCGTGAAAGTGTTATCTGAAAGGATGGATAATATTCACCATCAAGTGTATTCAAACTTGAAAACGTCTGCTGATTCGCTGAAGCTATGTTATGATAAGAAGTCTACTGAAGTCACCTTTATACCAGGAGAGAAGGTTGTATAATCCCAGGAAAACCAAAGGGATGTCTCCTAGGTTGTCTTCTCCATGGGAAGGCCCATATGGCATAGTGGATCGTCTCTGAGATGTGACTTTCCGAATAAAATGTGGTCGGCGAGGTAAGCCAAAGGTGGTGCTTGCCAACTGGCTTTGGCATTATCATGGTCCAGGACATTTCAGTTGGGATGAAGTGAACAAT